TAAAGGGGGGGGCCCCCCAAAAAGGTTTTTTCCCGGGCCCCGGGGGTTTTCCCCCATGTTTTTTTTCCCCCCCCCCCCCCCCCCCCCCCCCACTCTCAATCTGCCTAGCGTGCTTTGATATGCTGCCAATTTGGATGACCACTGACTGACTCGGGCCCTTGCGCCCATGCACGCAAGGCTTTAAAGTGGAAGCTCAACCTGATTACTACGGCCAGATGAAGACGGTCTCTGTGGTCACACGGCTCACCAAGCGGCGCGTGCGCCAGGATCTCAACAAATCCATGCTTGTGGGCAGCGGTCAGGAAGCAACGGAAGTACAAGCCACAGCTGATCAATTGACCGGCATTGATGGACAACCCGTCAATCACTGGCGCCTGCGTGCCCGCATGGAGCTTGTGACGGATGCCAAGGTGCGCTCATGGGCGGGCCGCACGCACGGCTGTGCCTCACAGCACAGCTGGACCAGACCTCCTCACCCACATTTTGTGTCACGACATTTGCTGTTCCGATGGTGCCCATAGCTCTATCCGCGATCACACAAGGAATGGCCTGTCAACCTGTTTTCGAGCCACGGCCAGTATCGCCCCCCTGCCCACATCAATGAGCTGGCTGCCTCCGAGTTCGATTGGCAGGTATAGTCATGCAATGTGGTGGATTGACCAGCCAAACAACAAGGGAGGTCGCAGAAGCGTTGGCACATGTCCCCGTCAACCTAACGTGGCGTGTGGCTTCTCGTAATCTGGATGAATATGCCTGCAGCTCTTAAGCAGCAACGTGAGCCGCGGCAACGCCACCTTGGAGTTTGAGCTGCGGTGCGTCGTATGCATGGCCTTACGCCATACCTATGGCCGGCACTCATGGTGTGCGGCTCGCTGCCGCTGTGATTGCTGATGCCACCTGATAGACCCATCAGCATGGGCCATTTGCGCTTCATGACCACCATGGCCGATGCTTTGACCATGCTTCAAGACAACTATGGTTTCTCAGACAAGGTACTGGTCTAGCGCCGTCCAAGATCAGCCAGCCTCGGTTCAGGGCCACCAGCCTGGTTGCTTGCTCCCTGCCACCTCGTGACCTCTTATCTCCTCATGTCGGAACGTGCCGCTGCATATAGGATCTTGATGACGTCAAAGCCATCTTTATCAACACCAACCTCCAGCTCCTTGCCCTCACCTATGCCGTTACCATTCTGCACCTGGTCTTTGATTACTTGGCCTTCAAAGTAGGTTGAGGCTGCACGCTTCCCCTTGCTCCTGCTTCGGTGGGCCCATCTTGCCTTCACCTTCTCGCTTCTCCGTTTGTGCCCATGCTCAGAACGACATTGGCTTTTGGAAAGGCCGCAAGGTAGGCCGTGCACGCATGTTTCAAGACCAGTAGCATCCGATGCCCAAGTCGCCGTAGCTTACGCTATGAAACCGTGCCTGCGCGACGATACCGGGCCCCTCTATGGGCTCCTTCCAGGATTTGGCTGGCCTCTCGCGTCGTACAATTCTCTTCAACTTTGTTTGTACCCTCATCATCTTTCTCTACTTGCTGGATAACGACAGCACCAGCATGCTGGTGCTGCTCAGCGTCGGTGTGTCGGTCCTGGTCGACTTTTGGAAGGTATGTACCCCAGCTTGCTGATCAGGGAAGCTGAATGCAGCTCACGGGCTTTGTGTTGGCGGCTTATAGGTGACCAAAGTTCTTCGTACACAGATCGAATTCAATGGCCTGTTGCCTACCATCAAGTTTGAAGCTGGTTTGTCCGAGCCTGCTCAAATTCACGCGCCACCCTCTGTATTGAGACTCATCGCTGCTTCGTGAGGAATGGATAGTGCGTAGCCAAGCCGAGGATGAAACAGAACAATTCGATGCCACCGCCATGGTCTACTTGGGCTGGGTCAGTACTCAGTCGCTGCCGACGAGCGCGCGCCGTGGCCGAGTCTTGTCAGTGAGGCGTATCTGACCCATTTGGCTCAAATTGGCTGGTTTAGGTATTGTTGCCCCTGGTGATGGGTGGAGCGCTGTACAACCTCGTGTACACCCCCCACAAGAGTTGGTACTCCTGGCTTTTGCAAAGCCTTGCCAACGGTAAGTCGCGCGAGTGCCAATACCTGCATGCCACGTGTCGGGTCACCATACTTGGGGCTTGAAACGCGCGCCCTCTTTTGAAAGGCCGTAGTTGCTTGCTGTTTTGACTCTGACCAGGCCAACATGGCATCCATGCGTGCGCAGGTGTCTATGCCTTTGGCTTTGTACTCATGACTCCGCAGCTTTTCATCAACTATCGGCTCAAAAGCGTCGCTCATCTCCCTTGGCGTGTCCTCATGTACAAAGTGCGTCCAGTTTTTGAGCAAAAGTGTTCCCACTACCGCCGGCGCCTCCACTCGTGGTTTTTTTTTTTTTTTTTTTTTTTTTTTTTTTTTTTTTTTTTTAACTGCCTGAAACCCGCTTTCAATGTCGGGCGGGTCTCGTTATCCGGTTCACGCTCTTATTTCATTCATTTTTCCTTTGCTAGGCGTTCAACACCTTTATTGATGACGTCTTCAGCTTTATCGTGACCATGCCGACGGCGCATCGACTCGCTTGCCTTCGAGATGACCTCGTCTTTGTGGTTTACCTCTACCAGCGCTGGTAGGAATGACACCCGCCATTTTGAATTCTTCGGTGTGCCACCCGCGCTTGCAGACAAAGTGGCTGACACGCGCTGGGTTTGTGTTAGGCAATATCCGGTCGACAAGGCGCGTGTCAACGAGTATGGATTTAGCTATGAGAAGGACGATGGCACGCCCGACGTGGCTGCCGTGGACCAAGCGCCCACGTCAGCGGCTGAAAAGAAAGAACAATAGGCAGCCTTCAACGTTGACTCCAGCGAGTGAGATCGCCTCAAAGAACATTGCAGATTTGTGCATGGCGTGTCAGACATACCTGCGTGAGAGACCGCCAACATCAACGGCCCCGAGTGTGCCCGCCAATTCAAGCGCCGAGCGTACATTCAAATAGATACCGTATTCGAAACCCTCCTTGTAACCTGGTCTCAATTTTCAGTTATGCTCATTATCGCCCCAAAGGATCAGTCCCGATTGAGGGCTTGGTTGCACGCGTTGCGTTAGCAACCTCGACCCAATTAAGGAGAAGACCGACTGACAGAGAGCGTCCATTTGTCGATTTCGCCACAAGTAGAGCTCTCAGATTCTCCAGATGGGAGCGCACAGCAATTCCAGTGGGGCTCAGTGTGTAGAAAAGAGCATGTGTTGCGAGTGCCACTCGATGCAAATGCATCCTCTTCGGCTGCTGCTGAGCGGCGGCAGGTGATACGTCGACCAGCGGCAACCTGCGCTTGCAAAAACAACCCTGCGTCATGTTGCTCAGCCTTTGACGGCCACGATTGGAGACGATGCTCGAGGACATGTTGGTGACACTCGCCAACACATCCTCTTCCGTGGTCACAAAGAGATGAGATGTGTTGGTAATCAGGTCACACATCTCGCTCATCAGTCCATCATCTCCGCCATCGGATCCTCCCCCCTTACCGGCCGCAGCACCGCAAGTACCGACACCGCGAGGCCGTCATACTCCCTTCGTGTGTGCATGTGTGTGTCACACAAAATCAAAATAAAACATGACACACCCCTACTGATCGAACCTTCCTCTTCAAGGTGCATTTTTATGAAAACTGGTTTTATATACACATTTTACACTCTTAAATATCGCCAACGGTCATACCACATGGAATACACCGGCTCTCGTCCGATCGCCGCAGTTAAGCCATGTTGGGCCATGCTAGTACTATCGTGGGTGACCAGATGGGAATACATGGTGCTGTTGGCCTTATCTTTTTTTTTCCCTGTTTTAAAGGCCGGCTGCGGATGGGCACAACTACCTTGTCCAAACCACTGAGGCATGTGATTGTAGGAGGCGTTTCCGGTGCAGACGCTTGATCCTCCGACCTCCACCGTACGCTGTTGCTCATGTGCCTCCTCATCGATGACTTCGTTGACCTGACGATGGCAAGAACTCACAAGTCAATTTGTGTCTTCGCAAGTTTTCAGCTAATTTTTTCATAATTTCCCTTTTTTCCTTTAGACTTCCCTTTGACAAAAGCGTCTGGTGTGCACTGGCTGGTGTAAATGCTCAACAATCCCGAACTCTTTGCACTACGCTATGCTTGACCTTTTTTTTGCTCGGTCCGGTTACAAGACGCCAGGCACTGGAAAAGTTCAATATGCTAGAGCGTCGATAGCATGGATCCAAAACAGATACGCGTGTGAATCGGTCCATCACTCCCATTCCATCCCTATAGTCTCAATCCAACCACATCCACAACATGTCTTAGCATTTCAAAAGTAGTCGAAATAAGAGAGCTGTCGATTTATGGAAAGTTGCAACTGCTGGACAAGCACGACAGGGGTGCAGGGGTGGCAATGAACGGGGCACGATTGGCATAGTGCACGTCACTCAAACGAAACACCGTTGCCTCGACGTCGCATCTCCTCCTGATACTCTCGAAGAGTTTTTTTCCTCCGTGGTTCCGAGTCAGAAGAAGTGGGCGAAGGGGCCCGAGGGCCAGGTTGCGTGCCAGCTGGTCGGTCCGGGCCGCGGTAGCCCGGAGGTCCAGGTCGGCGCTTGGCACGCTGAGCTGCTGGCGCCACGGGCGGCGCTCGACTCGGTTCCACCGAGCCACGATGATCAAGATCACGTGGACCATGATCTGATCCCATGCTGGGCACACGAGGCGGTGGCGGCGGTGGCGGTGGCAGTTGTGAGGTTGCAGGATCCCGCGAGTGCGCCACGCCTGTGTATGCACCACGGCGCTCCGCAGGCGCGTACTGGCTCGCACCGGACGAAGGCTGACGGCGCTCTTGGTGATGGCGCCCATGATCGGACGTTTGCTGGCGCGAGGGCCGAGGATCCTGATAAGGTTGCTCGTACAAGGTCTGGCGCTCCATGTGCATTGTGTTGTAGCTGGGCCCACGTGCCAAAGACATGGGCCTGGGCATGGCTTGCCTTCTAGGATCCTCTTGGGAAGGACGCCTGGGAGCTGCCATTGTTACTGTTTTGTACGCCGACCAGCCAGCCACCCCATAGGCGCGGGGGTCAACTAACACATCCACACCTAGCGTTCCTTGCACCACCTCTCTAAACTGGGCAGCGTTGTCCACAAGATTGCGAGCATGATTCTGGAACCACGCTGTCAACTTGTCATGTGCCCGCTCAAATGGCTCCAACTCTACGGTCAAGCAGTAATTCGCAGGTGCATGGGAGGCGAGCCGGTTAGGGCAGGACCAACGGTGTCGGTCCAGGTCAGCAAGGAGGAGGAAGTGGGGAAATATCGCGTGCCTTACCTTCATCAGTCGGCTCACGGTTCATGGCTAAAACAGAGGGCACTTCAAGTGCAGGAGGCGTTCGTACACCTATTTGGCGAGGGTTGTGGGTTGTTGAACACAATGGCAGAACGAGGTGCGTGTGCGTGTGTGTGTGTGTGTGTGTGTGAGAGAGAGAGAGAGAGAGAGAGAGAGAGAGAGAGAGAGAGAGAGAGAGAGAGAGAGAGAGAGAGAGAGAGAGAGAGAGAGAGAGAGAGCGATGTACCGCGACCACGCTTTATTCCCTTCCGTGCAAGCCGTTTATCAAGCAACGTACCTCGTGCACTAGCCTTGCGCCGGGCAGCGTCGTAGTTGCGATGAAGCAAATATGCCACCTCCTCCAGCGATTCTGATTCCAAAAAAAGGCAAGGAGAACGCGTTGGCGACATGTCACACAGTTCGGACGACAAAGGGGTGCGTCAGATTTTGCCTGTTGAGACAATGCCTGCTGCAGTTGTTCGTACCGTGCACAATCAAGTCAGCGGCCATGGTGGATACGCGGCCGTGTGGATTAGCCACAACGCAATGCAGTGGTCCAAGGGCCAGGTGACCCGGGGGTCCTGGTTCGCGTTGCCTCCATTTGTCCGATCGTAACCGACGCAAGATCAACATGCGGCTGTTGGATCCGGAACAGCCATCCCAGGCCGCTTCATTGTCCGTCAGGGCTTGCGTGCCTTGGTACCATTGATACTGGAGAGACTCCTCCTCTTGAACGAGGCATTCAAATATGACGGCTGAGCGTAGGCCAGAAACTTTCTCCTGTGGTTGTGGTTGCCGCTCGATCACGGGCAGCTCTACCGCAAATACGCAAAGTCATAGCGAGGTGAGCAAAGCAAGAGCGGCAAGTGTCATCAACGAACGAGAATTGTTCATGTGACTGTGCAAGACCGCCGGTACTAACGAGATGCCAAGGCTAGTGGGGGGTCAACAAGTCGCGGGGCAGGACTGAGACTTGCTTCACGGTCCACTGGGCTCGGTGAGGCGACCGGGGGTGGGCTATCGGGCTGGCCGCTAAGCAGCGGATCATGGCAAGCATCAACATCATCGTCTCTTGCTGTCATTGCAAGGGGATTGGACCAAGCCTCAAGCTCAGAGACCGTGCGGCGCTGGCGAGACCGCGCTGGAAGTCCATTCGTGCGAGCCCGCTGCAGCAAATCCAGAATAGTCGACGATTGCGTCAAGTCGTTGCTTGTCGCTCCGAACCTAGCAGACCAAGCTCATCGTTTGTAAAGAAATACACAACAACAACAACAACACCACAAAACCAAACAAAACCAAAGACAACGCAAACTCAAAAGAAAAAACCAGAGTTGCCGAGAAGTCAGCTTGGTGCGGTCGTGCGAACTCACAGGGTCTTGGCGTTGGGGTCAGCACCGTACTCCAGCAGCGCTCGAACTACCCCCACATTGCCGAGCTGAACGGCCACGTGCAACGGCGTGCTTCCGGTGCTGGACTCAGCAGCACCGGTGTCAGCACCGGCCTAGAGCATCAGAGCAGTGTGAATGAGCGAACAGCAGGCAAGCTTGCGAATGCCGCCGTGAGACCTTTGTAACAAAGGCGCACCTCGAGTAGCAGCACGCAAATGTCTGGAAGCGTAGCTGCATGCAAGGGGGAAAAGCCATCGTGGTCTGCAAGATTGACATCTGTCAAGTCGCGGAGTGGTGAGATTCGTCAAACGCTGCCAAGCAAGGACTAGGGGTCAGCAGTCGCACCAGCACCCTTGCTCAGCGCATCCTTGGTTGCAGCCAAATTGTTGTTCTTGACAGCGCGCAGCAACCTGGTGGCTCCAGATCTGCGATGGCAGGTGGCCGAGCAGCACAACAGCATCACGCCTCTGAGCAGGCGTGAACTGCGCGTACCTGCGAAAATGCCGTGGCGTTGACATACCCATCCCGACGATTAATGCGCCCCATGGGGCGGAGCTGGAAGAGATTTCCACGTGCAACAGATAAGGCATCCTTGCAGGAGGCCGTGGGCGGCGGTGACTTGTGTTTGGGTGCAGTAGCACGCTTGTTCTTGCGCTTGGCGGCTGGTTTTGCGGCTGGTTCTGCGGCGCGTGAGCTCGACGGAGCCGGGTCTCGATCTTTGACTGTGTTCTGAGGTTCACTCTTGCCCTTGGCCTTGGGTGTGGCTTTGCCTTTGGTGGTCTTGCGTCGAAGCTGACTCCGGGCAGCTGATACAGGCGCGTTGCCTTGTGCAAGCACGTCCGACCCCAAGAGGCGGGCCAACTTACGGCACTCGCGTTCACTATGCAGTCGACCGAGGTCAGTGATTTGCTAACAGCATTGGGCAGGTGCATGGCCATCACCAATCCTACCTCAGCACTGTCTCATCAAGTGGGGCATTCTTGACACCTAAGGAGAAGGGCAGACATGGTCGGGGCGGGCGGGTGAGCGCTCACAGCCACTGTCGCAGAGGTGTTCCAGGTGCCGAGGGGCTCCAACTTGCCTGCAGCGGCAAAGTCCAGCATCTCAGCCTGTTTCCACCATATAGCAGTGGTAGGTCCAAGAAGGTGCGTGGGGTGGCAACACGGTAATAGAGTCAGTGGGCTTGATCAATTTGCTCGCAGCGCGACGGCCAGCTTCAACACACCTCGCGAGTCGACATGATGCCCACACCAGCGCGCGCGTGCGCGCTGCAATGCAGGCTGTGTGCCACTGCAAGGCCAGGGCGTCTCCCACGCCTGCCGACCCAACAGCCACGTTTTAAAGACAATCACTGGCGTAAGCTTCCAGCTTCAAGTCCCTCGCAGCGCTCGGTGGCTGCTGCTTACCCGGATCAACGCAGACCAGACCTCGTTTCTCTCGAACAAAATTTGAACAGTTGCAGCACAAAATGAAGAAGATGCAGATGCATATCAGGAAATATACGATAAAATAGTGGAAATTGCAGCAAATATCTGATGACAACGAAAACTAACGGGTAGATGTGCGAACAAAATGAAGATACATACAAGGATATTGAAGCGTACTTATTAGCTTGGGAAGAGTAAAACGAACAAGAGTGCAGCGGTCTCGTTTGAGCGCCATTTCTCTCTCTCTCTCTCTCTTTCTCTCTCTCTCTTTGTCGGTGGCAGCGACAGCGGACTGTGCCCGTGGAAGAGACGCTTGCGCGCGCCGGGCAGGGTGGGGCAGGAGAGTGTGTGCACGTTACCGCTGAAATGCGGGTGTTTGGGAACGGGACCATTTTCAACTGGGGCCCGCTGATTGCCATTGGACTCATCAGCTTCATTTCCTACGCCACCGTTCTGGTTCATCCCGTGACGGTGCTCTTTCCCGGTGCCTGGCTCCTCTTTCTGGCCTGGGCACTCGTGGTCGTGGCCATTGTCATATCATTCCTGGCAAGCATTTACGTTGGTCCGGGCTATGTCAAGCTCAAATGGGTCAGTGTCACGTTGCATTCTTTTGATGTGCAGCGCCGGCCGAGCAGCCATCATGGCTGGCAGCCAGCCAGTCAGCGTCGGTCACTAATGCCGGGATGCATCCTCATCCTGGTCAACTGAATGGGCATCATTGAACAGGAACCGCCAAACCCAGATAATTTGAAGAAGGTCCAGTGGTGCAAGCATTGCCATGGCTACAAGGCGCCACGCTCCCATCATTGCAAGGACTGGTCGGTCTTGCTTTGCGAACAGATGGCTCTCGCTCACCATTGATTTGTGGCGGTACCGCCCTTCACGCCTCACTCCATCCGCCCCGCCTACGCCGTCATGATATACCCTGTAGCGGTCGCTGCGTCAAGATGCTGGACCACCACTGGTAGGTCGCGCCCGGCACTGGTGACGGTCGATGACCGCCCGACTGATGCGCTCTCGTTGGCTTGCGTGCAGTCCTTGGATCAACAATTGCGTGGGCAATGACAACAAGGTCTACTTTATTGCCTTCACCACCTCGGTACCCATTGGTGCGTCTTGTTGCGTCTTGCCACGGCCCGGCTGGCTTGCGCCGTCGATTCCATGCCACGCTCATCCCGTTTGGGTCGTATTGCGCGACAGGCTGCCTTTATTCGGCATCCGTGCTAGGCACCTTTCTGTGGCGCTATTGGCCATTGCTGCTGCGCTCGCGCCGCAACATGCCCTCACGCGAGTTTCTCGATTCTTTGCCACGCATCGTTTTTGCCAACCAAGGGCTCTTCAATGGTGCGAGGTCTTCCATCTTCGTGAAGCGCGACAGTGACGCTCATGTGCAAACCGTATTCTCACCATGACGCTCGTGACGGCGATCATGGAATCCATTCGGCAGTTTACTCTTTCTTGATGGTACTTGCTGCGTTTGCCTTTGCCATCGGTGTGGCCTTGGCCGTTGCGGGGCTAGGCGGTGTTCAGTGTCACTCTGTCATCAAGTAGGTCTTCGCGCGCTTCTTGATGCATCAGCCAAACGTGCAGCGGGCAATGTTGAGGATTGATTTCCAGGTTTTCTCACGCTTCAACGGGCTTTCTCTTTGCATGGCGCGGTGGTGATGTCGGCTGATAATTTTTCTCAGGAACAAGACAGGGATTGAAAACTGGATTCTGAAAAAGGCACGCCACCGTCGTGGAGCCGATAATCCCTTCAAGTATCCATTTGACATGGGCTGGTGGCAAAACATCAAGTTAGACATCCGGCCCTACGCAAGAGTGTTTCTTCGATGCTATAGCTTGTTCTTAAGCCCCTTCTTGACGACGTTGATGCCGCTCATTGGTTGTCTCATTACGCCCACAACAGAAACGCGGTCGACCAGAGCCTGAACGGCGATGGCATTCACTGGCCTGTGCTAGACGGTTTGTCCCGACGCTGGCAGGCAATCGCGGCACGCGCCCCTCCACTGCAGTTTCACTTGGCTGTTTCGGGATGGCGCAGGAACGAGCCCATATGATCTTACGGCAGAGCAGGTCGCTCAGAAAGCTGTCAAGCACAACAGCCGCAGCACCATGCGTGGCGAACAGGACACCGGCTTTTTGGGTACGTTGCACGGTGTGATGCGAGGGGTACCGCATGAGCCGCAGCACGAGCCATGATGTGTGCGCAATGTCGGCCAGCGAATCGATTGTTTAACGCTTGAACACATGAATGTCTCACGGTATTGTACTTCGGGTAGCCTGGCGTGCCGGATTCATGACGATGTTGCGCTGTCCGTGGGAATCCCACATCCGCGTGCGGGTACGTGTTGTTTTGCGTTGGGCTCGCTTGTCGACCAGGGCCTGGCCGGGACCTGAAAGACGTGTTGTGACCTGCTCTTTTTCCCACTGCCATTCATGTTTCAGCCTGGAGCCACGTATCAAGTTTGGCGAGGCAATTCTTTGTGGTGGTATGGTGAGGCGGTAAGTTTATTCGGGTGGGTGATGGGTTCATCCAGGATCATCAGCTCACATGTGCATGCGTGTTCGCACGTGTCTTGCGTGTCTCTATGCGTATGTCACTTTCTGGCATCTTTGTTGGGTAGGTGGAGGTGCTGGATAATGGTGTGTGCACAAGCAGCACCCCGCTGGAGCGTGGGTGGTTTCCCAAGACGGCCGTGTCGGAGGCAGAGCAACAGTTGCGCTACGTGGAAGTACGGCGATGATAACCTGGCCCGGACGCAACAAGGATCGGGATGCTCAATTGACTTGCTACAGGCAGACATCGACAAGTTTAACAATGAAAAGCAAGAAGAGAGAGGGAAAGAAAAATTAAGACAAGGTGCACTATCGCCAGAAGGTCAGACATGGGGCGGGAGGGGAGACGCGTGCCGTGCGCGCAAGTGTGGCACAGCCAATGCACGGAAGAAGGGCAGGGCGGCTCTTGGAGCTCTCAGCAGAGACTGTCGTCTCTTCAGATAACGAGCAACAGAAAAAAAAAAGTCTAGAGGCGGCGTTGCTTCTTAGGGCGGCAGCCATTGTGGGGCACGGGGGTCAGATCACTGATTGAGCTGATACGCAGGCCACCTGCTTGCAAGCCCTTGAGCACATTCTACATCGCAGGTATGGCGGTCCAGTGAGTGGAGCTCGGTCTGCACGGCGGTGAACTGGGGTGGGTTCATTGTCGAGGGGGTCAAGGAGCAGTAACCTAACCCCAAGAAGCAGCGTCCACAACTTACCGGTCGCGCAGGTCCAATGCCTTTGAAGAGAACACGCACTTGGCGCACACCTCGATCACGAGCCGCCTGGCAAGGGCATGGCAGGGAGATGCATGTTGTGAGCTGTCATCACCTGCCTGCTGGCCTTGACGATTGGGTTGGGATGAGGGGGTAGGGGGGCGCAGTCTAGCTGACCTCCGCGGCGCGTTGGCTGGCAACTTGGGCGGCATATGTTGTGCTGCGACGTGCGCCCTTGAAGCCACACGATCCCTGCAAGGACAACGAGTGCAATTCAGACGCGGACACGGTGATGAGGGGTGTTGATGCGAAAGGCCGCACGCCGAAGGGCGCACGCGTGCGCGCGATACGAGCCCACATACCGCTGAGGCCCAGTTGAGGGAGTTGCCTGGAGGATTGCAGGTGGCAGAGGTGGGGAGGGAGGGAGGGAGGGGACGGGGCAGTGATGATGATGAGATTTGATACGAGCAGGTGGGGTTATGCCATCATGACAGAATGCACGCCAGGGTGAAGAGGAAGGGTGGGGCGTGCGCGCGCGTGTGTGGAGAGGTTGATGGGGAGTCGGCACGGACCGTCGCGGCGGCTGATGGTGACAATGGTGTTGTTGGCAGTCATTTTGACGTGTGCCAGGCAGCTCTCGAGGTCTTCTTCACGCTCGGCACTCTTGCGACGCTGGCGCAGGGATACCTGGCGCATCCAGTCAGCTGCATCAGCCTCGGACATGCCAGCAATATTGTATTGGTTGGTCGGGTTGGCGGTTTTCCCCGTCTCGGGCTGCTCTGTTTTGCTGTCAGAGCTGGCAGCGGCCTCGGGTGACGGCACAGCTTCTTCCACCGGTGCCGCTGCCGCGGGTGGCTCCTGAGACGCATCACTCGGGCGCTCCTCCTCGGCCCAGACGGGCTGCGCCGTATGCAACGCCGCACTAAGTTGCGGCCGCGTGAGGCGAGCGGCCTGGTTGGCAGCCGCACTGATGCCACTCCAGCTCCGCATCGACCACACACTCGGCCCTCGAGCAGCAGCGAAGCCCCGCACGGACCCAGCCGCGAGCACAGGGCTGCCAAATCGCAGCGCCGTGCGCATCACCACCTGCAGCGCCCGCATCGTGAGCCGGTCGGACGTTGACAACACGTGTTGTTCGATAAATCCAACTCGCTCGCTACGACAGTCTGATGGTTTTTACACTTTAATGTGTTGAAGCTGACCGTTGCGAGCTGCTACCAATTGTAACAGGCAGAGGGCAAGGCAGGGTTGTGTGACTGATGAGAGGGTTGATGCCATGGGTCAGGGAAGTACAGAGACATGAGGTGTTCAAGGAGAATGGGCAAGAGGGTGTCACAAAAATCAATTTCGCGTAAGCTTGGAATCTATGCAAAAACCAGAGGTAAAGCTGAGGACGTCATCTTTCTCCAGAGGCTGACTCTAGCCAGTCCCAAAATTCAGAGAGTCCTTGAATGTTCTTTCTTCTATCCAGAGGTTTGGCTAACGGTCCTCAAGATCCTTTGTCTCTCGGAAAAAAAGATGAGAGAGGAAGAACGGCAAAGCGACAACCAGAGAGGTACAGCCGTCTGCATGCGTACTATCCAGAGAGATAATCCCCCCAACGAATAAAGAAATAATTTTACACTAGCAAACTACACTTATCCAGAGAGAAGCCATCTCAGCAGCGCTCGATCCAGAGATTCGTCCCCCTCGAGAACCTTTTTTAGAGAGTGCGAGAGCAGAGATTCAACAACACATTATCAAGAGCGAGAGGACGACGACGACGACGACGACACAGAAACGGCAGCGCGGGAGCACTTACGCGTGAAAGACGTCTCTCTGATCGACGCGTCTACTTGCCAGAGCATCTCTTGTATTTGGTGAGGGTAAGTGAACGAGTGGGGCAATGATCCACGCCCCCGCCACCCATCGCCTGTCGGCCTTGCGCCTTGATTCACGCTTCAGACACACAGACACCGACACGAACACCGACACAGAGACACCGAGCCAATGGCTCAACTTTCCGACCACTTGAAGACCCGCTTCTTCCGTTCCCAGCGCTTGCGTCGGCGCCTGCATGTATGCCAGGGCTTGGGCAGTGTCTGAGGTTCATACAGCACCTCAGTTACACAGCCCAAGGTCATTCAAACGTGTGAAGTACCGCCGCAGGCGGTGTCGGATGGCTGGACGTCGCTCCAGCTCGCAAAGGCTGCTCGGCGCGATGCAGGCGAAAAACTCCACTCGCATAGACTCACACCAACCCTCTGAATCAAACCATTTTAAACTCGATCACGCGTGGTGGGAGGCCCTGGTTTCAGGGAGGCATGCCTCCCGCAACCTTGCCACTGCCCTTGCCTTGACCGTTACAGTTTTTTTTTTTTTTTTTTTTTTTTTTTTTTTGACCCATTGTTCCATTCTTACCTCCTTGAGCCTTTCAGCGTCCAAAGCCTCCGCACACAACTGCCCCTTCAGAGCACTGCAAACACTAGGCGTTTCGAAGTATCTTCTGGTCTTCTGCTGTTTAAATTTTTGTGACTCCATTTCCCGCACTGCGCCCACCCTGTGTAAACCATTCTCTGACTCGACACCACTGTCTGTTTGAACGATTCAACTCGATTTGTGACCAACCTGAATCAGGTAGCGGCCGGGTCTAACTCATTATCGTTTGCTGCGTCCTGCTGTTCATTTCCCATAGGTTCCAACTGTTTTCAACGAAGAGGAGCGCGCAAGGCATCTTTTACCCAACAAGACCTCCGGATCCTCCAACGTGCATCCAACTTGGTGTCTGATAGTGTCAAACACAAATCGTGCACGAATTTGATCCCGCTTCGTTCCCCTTCTTCTTCATCTTTACAAGAGCAGCCGAGTCCTCACCGTCATGCCTCATTGAGCTGCCCATGAGTGCGTCCTTGACGCGTGTTCCACCATCGGCACCCTCCACGCGCCAGCGGACTCAACACCCGCTCCGCTGGCGACAAGGGTTTGGCGGGCTGTTGTTTTGAACTCTGTAACATAATCTCGCCCCGCGCGCCGTGGGCCATCGGCGCAATGGTATGTTCTTCTAACAACCTAGCCACCCTCGCTCGTCATCTCGCTGAGACGCAGGCCCTTTGCTCAGCGTGAAAATATTCCTGGACACTTTAGGACCCCAAGCTCCTGTTGCAGAGGTTGAGCCAAATGCCGGAGCAACAGCAGCAAGCCATCCTTGCACAATACAATCTCAGACTGGTACGGTTTTGGAACGGCGAAGACGTCCAATTTCATCGAATCACACGCTCATCTCACACCACAATTCGCTGCGACTCTGCCCATCCCAAACGTGATCAATAGCACAATGGCCAATTTGTCCCTCTGAATCGTGGGGCACCATCGGGCCAGCCCGGTGTGTCTGCTCCACACATGGGTATGCCCACATCACAGCCGGCGGGCATGGCCACCTCCGTAGGCAATATCCGCATATCACAGGCTGGCAGCATGGCCAGTAGTGGTTTACACGTCGGTGTCTCTGGAGCCGGTTCGCTGCCGGGAGGGATTCCCGGTATGCCTGGTCACTCGCAAGCCCGACTCGTGCATCCCATGCTTTCTGTTCCTTCCAGCATGCCAGGCCCCTCCGTTCCCAGTGGCTCCAGCATGGGTGCACTGAGTGGTGGCGCCGTTCCACACGTGTCCGCCGCCGCTTCCACCTCCGGTGCTGCTGCCCACTCCCCCTTTACCCCAGGGCATACGCCGAACGACATGCAACTTTCTGCTGGCTCGCATGGCGCGCAGCCTAGCTCTTCTGGTGTCTCTCTGGCACGCTTGCCACCCAATGTTCAAAATGGTATATCTTGCTGAAACAAATGACGGCCCATCATCGCATTGCCAACGAATCTCATTCTATCTCTCTTTGCTTTCTATCCTGATTTTAGCTATTGTCAAACTGGCGCAGCAAAAAGGCTGGGACCCTGAACGCTTGACACCTGAGCAAGTTTCATCTCTACAGCAAATTTTATATACGATTCGAAAGCACCAGCTCCAAGCTCAAGCCCTGCGGCAACAACAGCAACAGCAACAGCAACAGCAGCAGCAACAGCAGCAGCAACAGCAGCAGCAACAGCAACAGCAACAGCAACAGCAACAGCAGCAGCAACAACAACACTCGTCGCAACAGCAGCCTCAGCAATCATCGCAGCATCAACCGTCAGGGGTTCTCCAGGGGCAGGCTCTACAGCAGGCTCAGGCTCAGGCTCAGGCTCAGGCTCAGGCCCGAGCACATGCACAGGCGCAGGCGCAGGCGCAGGCTCGGGCCCAAGCGCAGGCGCAGGCGCAGGCGCAGCGTAGTACATCCTCTCCTCAAACTCAGGGACAGCTCCCGCGGCCCGGCGTTAGTGCAGCCGCCCAGGTGTCGCAGGCTCAACTACAAGAGCTCCTGCAACAACAGCAGTTGCAACGCCAACAACTTCAATACCAGTTGCAACGCCAACAAGAACATGGCATGCCACCGCAGTCTCAAGCAACTCATTTGCAGCGTCTTCTGGCCCAACAACAACAACAACAACAACAACAACAACAACAACAACAACAACAACAACAACAACAGCATCATCATCATCAGCAGCAGCAGCAACTCCAACAGCAATTGCTTCAACAGCAACGCATGGGTTCTATGACTTCAGTAGCATCCGGAACTGGTGGTGTCTCAACTTCTGCCGCCTCCCTTATTCCGACCCTGTCCGAAGCCATGGTACGTTATTCGCGTCCTGCACTGTGTTTTGCCGTCAGTTGGGAACCTCATGTGAGTTGTGCCTGGCACCCTTGCTCACGTGACCTGCTCATATCTCTACTCCCGTTGACTCGCGTTGGAATAGAAACGGCATGTCTTGCAGTCTATGCAGCCAGCTATTGACGAACTTGTGAAGAGACTGAAAAGTCAGAACACACCTCCGGAGAAGATTATGCAGATTGTTTCTGGTTACCGTATGCGGCAGGTAAGTTTGTGCAGCACACATGTGACAAGGGCATTCGCCTCTTTGCACAGTGAGACAAAAGTTGACACACGCGCGTGCATCGATGTCTTTTCGTAGCTGAGCATAGTTGCACAACAACAACAACAACAACAACAACAACAACAACAACAACAACAACAACAACAACAACAACAACAGCAGCAGCAGCAGCAGCAGCAGCAGCAACAACAGCCACAGCCACAGCCACAGCATCATCAAACACACCAACTGCCGCTTCAACATTTGCAACAACAACAGCAGCAGCAGCAGCGACAACCACAACAATCACAACAATCAACACAACAACAGCAACAGCAACAGCAACAACATCAGTTGTCCGGTCAACGTGGGATGTCACATGTAGGGTCAGCCGCGTCCCAGATGTATCAACAACAACAGGCCGTGCATCAGCATTCGAACACCGCTGTCATGGAGCGTCTTCAGGCATCCTCAACCTCTCAAGGGGCTCATTCACATGGCGCAGCACCAGCTGGCCCTGGTCCTAACACTGCAGTCCACGCCGTACAGCAGAAGGCTCAACAAGGCCCTGTAGACCAATCAAGCAACTCGTCAACCTTACAGCTTCACAAAAACCAGGTCAAGCTATACCTGGCGCGACTGATACACCAAGAAAAAGCGACTATGGGTGACATTGAGCGCATTCGGCAAGCCTTGGAACAGAACAATACAAATGCTTCCCAGGTTGAGCTTTTGCACCGCGAATTGGCCAAGCTCAACACCAAGGTACCTGAAATGCGCCGGAGAATTCAAGAGCATGCGAACCTTCTGCGGCAGATCGATTTTGAGCTTCAAAAGCTCGCGCATTCGCCTGCCAACAATGTGGTCCATGGTTCCGGATCCACCAGCATGACCCCCGACGTCGCGCGGACGCCTGGATACCCAAATCCCGCCTCAGTACCAGCAGAGACCGCACGGGACAATGCATCGACCCAGGGTCTAGGCAATTCGCGCGCCGGTTCTCGTGCTGCCTCCCGCCCGACCTCGGCTGCTGCCACACCCACTTCCACCACTAACGACGAGGTAACGCCAGCCAAGAAGGCCAAGCGACGTGCCGCTCAAAAACAGCGAGTACCAAAGACAAGCGTCAAGCAAACTTTGCAAGACATCAAGGATCGGCTTGAGGCCATGCGCAAGAATACTGCCCCTCCCGTGCTTTCAGTGGACGAGCAGCCCTCTGATGAAATCCTATTATCCCGGGCCCATCACCGAGCTCGTCGCCGGTTCGTAGGACCCGGTGTTGCATGCGTGACCTGCCTGCATTGTTCAAGCACCATAACGGCCAGCAGTCAGCTGACATCATGGTTCACCATCTCATTTGTTCCTACCGCTTAGATTGCGTGATATCCGCTTGAAGGAGGGCCAGATTCTGCACACCGGACACCGCGAGCCGTTTGAGAATTTCGGGGACGCTTTGGACAGGTGTGTTTGGATTTTTTTTTTCTTTTTTCAGTAGTGACGAGCTGTGCCTTCTTGTACAAATATTTTCATCATCGTCCTGCACGCCATTTCTTGTAGTTTGAGCGCTTTCCATAACCTTCAACGCGAGACGTATGCTGAAGCCGATGCCGTGTCTGACGATGAGGCTTTCGAAGAAGTGGGCGAGGAGCTGCTGCAGCGTAGCGAGGAGCTGCTGCAGCGATTCGGCGACGTGTGCTTGGTCGCAGCTTCGGTGCGTTGCAGTTCCAAAAGCGGGGTCTGTGAATGTGCCAGTCGCAAATCTCATGCTGTGCTGTGTGCTTGGTTGTACAGAAATCCGGTTCGCCAGGCCTCTCTATCTTGATGGAGCGTGAGCTCACAACCATCATGAAAGATCAGTTGGAACAGGAAGAAAAAGATTTCGCCCTTGATATGGAAATAAAACGTGCGTGTGTGCGTGCGTGGTGCCCGCACTGGATGTCTTGTTCCACAGCTCAGCATTTTTGACTCGTTCTTACTGCACTTCAAATTAGGCGCCGAGCTCCTTGCCCTCCAAGAGGCTGAAGCTGCCAAGCAGCAGTACGTTGAGGAATCTCTGGGCGGTGACTTTTCCGTCGATGAACTGCAGAATCTCCTAGACCTTTAGACTTGCAGAAAGTAGTCTGTGCATGATGTTGCGCTGACCTCGCCCGCTTCAAAATTCTTTTCAACTTTTCTTGGCCCAGCTCTTGAACGAGTGCATTATTTGCTTGTGGCCTTTGCATCATGAACACGGAGGAGAAGCGGGCGTTTGTGTGTTTACTTTTGTTCTGGACGAGTGCCTTCCAGGTGTCTTTTTGTTAACTACTCACACGGTTGCTAGTTTCTCGCACCACAGCCTATCTTGTGATCGTCGTGCGCTGGAGTGGTGCCTGCTTGCTTTTTTTTCTTTCTGTTCAATTTTTTTTTTTGGATTGTTGTTGTGTTACGCTGAGTCCCATTGAGTTTGTGAAACCTGACGACAACTTTGTATCGCTAAGCCTGGGCGAAGTGGCCTGAGGCTGGGAGTAAAAGAACTTGTTTATTGTAGGCAATGTCGATTGCTAATTTCTGGGGGTCGGTCGCCACGCAGCACGCTCAGCGTGTCAAGCAGGGTCGAGGAAGCACAATTGCCATCGTTGGAAATATGGGTTCGTTTACGAGGGGACGAAGTTCATGGGGATGACGGAACTCCCGCACCCGAGCCATAAAGGGGCAATTGGCGTAGGGATTGATGCAGTTCTTCCATGATGGCAAGGTCTTCCTCTGCAAGCACTTGGGCATTCTCAGAGACATCGTGGGTTATCAAGTCAGAAACACGGAGCGGGGAGCCTGGCATGGCAGCTGGGTGGTCAGATGCCAAATTGGTCAAGGTTGGGGCTTCATTGGTGCGTGGGGGAATTCTCCATGTAGGCTGCATGGGCGCGTGAGGGGTGGCACCGGCACGACCCCGATCACTCCGCAGGCGCGCCGAGGAAGCAGGCTCGATCGCTGCAGGTTGCGTATTGAGCGTAACGGGTCGGGTTTGGTTGATGGGCCCAGCCGGATTCGCGGTGGATCCAGAGCTTGGATGGGATGATATGGGCGAGGCTTCGGAACCAAGACCACTATGCACTCGCTCGTGTGCCGACCGTGGGCCATGGCCGGGGCTGGTAGTGACGTGGCGGGTGGGCGGTGACGTGTTGGCCGAAGGTGTGATGGATGGGGTCAAGTTGAGGGCGGGATTGGGCGTGGAGCTGCTGCCTGTGTCCGTTTTGCCACTTGTGCGGCGCACTTGAGCTAGTTCGAGCTGTAGCGCTCGAGCCTGAGTGGCATGCATGGCGGCAAGCACGCGAAAGGAATGGGGGCGTAGGCGAAAGCGAAAGCGCAGCTCCTTGCGATCCGATTGCAGAAAGCCCTCCGCCTCCAAGTCGTCACGCTGATAAAACTTATCAAAGCCCCAACACTCGTGCAGCGCAAAAATGTTACTTCCCTGCCGCTGAACGGGCCGCGCAGAAGAGGATTCCTGTGGCAACAGCTCAATGCTCCAGTCGATAAGCAACTACCGAAGCGCGGATCGAGGCATGTACAGAGAAGAGGCGAGTGATGTTCATGCGTCATGGTGGGGGAGGTAGCAAGAGTAGAACGAGCCAGCGGCATGGCGCACCGGAACGTCAGGGTCGCCATGAGGACAGGCGCGCAGCTC